TCATTACCTACACACATATTGTCACGTCACGCCGTGACCATCTTATATATACCAGACCACCACCCCCCAATCTAGTAAATGCTAGAGCACTCCCGAAGGTACGGGATAGTTCTAGAAAGCAGGTGGCGTGACACTAATCAATTGACCTCGCTGACGCAACAATATGTTTTCTGGCTCTTTGTGAATTTTTGCTTAGAAAAGGAACAGGAAATTTGTCATTACGAAATTTCTGCAGAAGAAAGTCTTCTTTTGTGTATGGACATAAAATGAGGAATGAAGATCTTCCACTATTGGTGATGATTTATCATTTAGTAGTGCATTAAGCTTCAGGCAGTACACCATCATCACTGATGTTTTAAAGAGAACTTAGAATCTCATTGGACCTTCTACATTCTCGTACAGAGACTAGTCACTCAACAGAATTTTACAGAATATGTAGAGGGAATAAGGATCACCATAAAGGTCAAACATGACTTTAATCTAACACACTTGAATCAAGTAGTGATGAAATGATAATATTCTATGATGTTAATTCAGCCAAGACTGAATTTCGTCTATGTGGCATGATACAAACACTGTCATAATAAAGGACAAACTGAAAAATTAAGCAGGTGTTGCGAAAGTCTATATGTTATACTGAAAATAATCTCATGTGTTAAGACCGTTCTCATAATTTGACCATTAGCCATGTTGGATTTTTTAAAATACCACAGAGATCTGGTCTTTTGATTGGTATAAATTCCCAACATTTAGAAAAGGTTTAAATTTCTGAACTTACCATATCACTTTCTACATTCACGTTGAATGACTGAATAAGTTTCCTAGCTCTTTGTGAATTTTTGCTTACAGAAGGAACAGAAAATTTGTCATTATGAAATTCCTGCAGAAGAATGTATCCAAACCCAATGTCTGATGCACCAATGCACAGAATAAATCCCTGTTGGAGGTCATGTAACTGAAAGATAGGACATGTTGACAACTTACTCTTGAGAGTGCAAAATCCAATTTTTTTAGTAAATAATTCTTGGTTTTGACTGTTACATGAGAAGCTATAGCTCCTGTTTGTGATATACATATGGTAAAATATTATCAATTCTAATAATAACCTTAGTTATTTCTTAGTGACTGAAGAAACTGCATTTTGAATTGCTTTGACTTTGTCACATGTTGTTTAAACTCATCCATGATCTAGAAATTCAACTTCCTCAAAGCCTACAAAACGTTTGGTTGAGTTAGCTGTGATATTAGCTTTTTATAACCCTACTCAAGACATCTTTCAATGTATACGAGTATTCTTGACAAGTCTCAGTATGGATAAATTTGTCATATCCACAATTGTCTACACTAGATACACTTCTCATTCAGGTTCTCTTGATTCAGCCTCAGCTCCACTTTTAAAGCTTCCAAATCCCTCACTGCTGTACATACTGGATTGTGATGCTACTAATGTCGGAATTGGAGGAGTGTTGTCTCAGAAAGTGGGTGAAAACGAACATGTGGTGGCCTACTTCAGTAGGGTCCTGAGTAGACCAGAGAAGCTACTGTATAACACTGAGGGAACCCCTTGCTATAGTAAAGAGTCTGACATATTTCCATCCTTACCTATATGGTGTCAGATTTACCATCAGGACAGACCATGCTGCATTACACTGGTTAAGATCATTAAAGAACCCAGAGGCTGGCACGTTGGATCAGAAAGATAGACCAGTATAATT